CCAGTCTGACTTACCTTTACTCAAAGCTTAAGTCAATGAGTTATGGGTCAACTAGAATATATTAACTGCTCAACACCACATCAATTATCTGATGTGGGACTTCTCTAATACAACTCACACATGTATCTCAACAATCTCCCCATCACGTGTGAGTTCAATATTATGTTTATTTCTCCTTAATTTAGATATTCTTCTGCATCAGCTTTTCTCAAGCTGAATCTCCAAGTCATTGGAATGTACTCGCAACTAATAGTGTCAATGGGTCGGGTTGGGCTTTGATGATACCCGACCCGACCCGAACCCTATAGGGTCATGCTTGACCTGCCCCGCCCTGCCCCAAGACCCTTTTTAGCATATAAACCAAGAGAAGGGTCGGGTCGGGTCGATTCAGATCCGGTTTCATGGGTTGGGTCAATATTTTGGAATAAATCAATAAGATAAAAATAATAAAAAAAAGTCCCCACGAAAGCGACGTTTTTCTTTCAGAAACTTGGAATCATCTGGACTTCCGTTTGCGCCTCCTCCTCCTTCTCTCCGGCGAATTTCTCCATTGAAGACGACTTCTGCAAGAGAGCGCAAGTGAAGAAGGAGAAAGCTCCCGCCTTTCGCCTGCTTGCGTGTCGCGTTTCGCTACGTATGTGGTGTGACTCGTGAGGGAGTCAACCAAGCTCTCGAGCGTCATCCCCAAACTTCCCGAAGGTTCTCGCCGGCTAGGTTTCTGTGCTCTTTGTCTGATCGTCCCTTCCCCACTCTCGAGTTCCTCCTCGTCGGCTGGTGGAATCGGCGAAAGGATTGGCACGATTGGAGCCGGGTTCTGCTTCCCGAAGCGGCGGCCATGCGAAGCGGAGCTAAGGTTCGGGGAGCGGGAAGAAGGGCGGAGCAAGCGAGCGTGGGGGGTGGGGGCTCAACATGGTAATCGGGTTCTGAGGATGTCGAGCTTTGTCCCAGTGAATCCAACCTTCAATTCCATGTGAATCTCTCCCTCCTTCGGTTTAATGATGGGTAAGCGGTAGTCGGACGGAATAGAGGAAGAGAACTACTTTTGGCCCTAATGGTGTCAAAAAGCCAACGCGGGCCGGGCCCGACCCTACCCTAACTTGACAATACCCACACCTAAAAACACTATCCCAAGCAGATTAAGGCCTGACCCCATAATACCGGAAATTTTAGAATAGGGTTGGGTTGGGCTGGGTCGGGCCGAGCCGGCGCGGGCTTTTTGACACCCCTACTCACAATTATGCACAACAACCATTATCAACTGCTAACTTAGGATTGCATCACCCGTGGTCTCTACCTCGCGTCACTAGACCAACTGTGCTAGGTCACTTCTCGCTAGACCAACTGCGATGGCAATTTCCTCTCAACAATCTCCCCCTCAATGTTCTTGATTAACCAACCAAGCTCTGATAATAGTTGTTGGGAATCGCACACTGATTCCAGAAAAATAACCCAAGCAAACAATCATCACCAGCAAAATATAATAATAAAAAGAACATAATCGAAAGAACACATCAGAGAATTTACTATCGAAGTTCACTCAAACCTGGGCTACATCTCCGCGCAGAGGCACTCTGCGAATCCACTAGACTTTGAAAAAAGTAGGAATACACTGATGATCTTCTCTCAAAATTGGAACACAAAAAAATTGAGAATACTCACAAAGAAAAACTCACTTTTTCTTCTCTTTTCTTTTCTCTCTCTATTTTCTTCTCAGCGCTTAACGGCTAGCTTCTATCAATGACTGATATATAAAGTGTAACTTTTAACCTAAAAGCAAAATTAATAGAAAAGACAAAAAAAGCCCGTAATAATAATATTTGGCTTCATCTTCCAATCTCCTAAAGTAAACATAGCTATTCAACTAACATTTAGAATAGTCCTTACTAGCTATGAAAGAATTGAAACACTTATACCAGTGCCTAGGAGACTGTTTCAACCCATACAAAGATTTCTTCAATAAACAAACAGATCTTCCTTACCTTCCTCTGGCTGCCTCATGTAAATCCGCTCCTCCAACTCACCGTGAAGAAACGTTGTTATCACATATAAACTGCTCCAGCTCGAGACCATGTGCAGCAACTAAGGCAAGTAATATACGAATAGAAGTATGTCTTACCACAGGAGAGAACACATCGTTGTAGTTAATACCCTCCCGCTGTGTATACCCCTTCGCCACAAGTCTCGCCTTATATCTCGTTGCCTCGACACCGGGAATGCCCTCCTTTCGTTTAAAGACCCACTTACTTCCGACAATTTTCTGGCTCTTGAATACTTTGACCAGCTCCCATATCTGATTTCAATGGAGTGATTTCATCTCTTTACTCATAGCTCCTAGCTACTGTGACGACTCAGAATTAGCTATCGTCTCAAAGTAAGATAAATGCTCATTTATCTCAACCTCATCACCTACAGTCAATGCTTAAGTAATATCTGTATAACCATAACGTACTGGTAATTTAATTTGCCTTCTCTGTCTGCCGGCGGCTATAGTGTGATCTGGGATCAATGCACCATAGCCGATAGCCTTTTGTTTTCCATAAATGTGACTCTCATAGAAATGCAACTCAACTTTTTGCAAACTTGGAAGCAACTTCCTTGAGTGCAATTGCTTTACACCATTTTCATCAAGATGTCCCAATCGATAATGCCAAAGAGTAGACAAATTACCTATAGCTATTGTAGTTGCAACCATATCACTGACATTGTCTCCCTGGAGAAGGTAAAGTGTACCCGTACGCTTTCCTTTTGCTACTACTTTTGCCCCTGAGGTTATCTTCCATTCTCTACATCCAAAAGCTGTTACCAAACCTTCTTGGTCAAGTTTACTAGTTGAAATCAGATTTTTCTTTAACTCTGGGATATGTCTAGTTTCATGCAAAACTAGACATCCTCCACCTAAGACGTTCACAATCACAGCTCCTTTTCCAACAATTTGACACATGTAGCCGTTCCCCACAACCACTTACCCAAAACCTTCACTGGCATAATCAGCAAATATGCCTCTTTGTGAGGTGCAATGAAAAGAAGCACTAGAGTCAATAAACCACTTGTTTGTCGTCAAGTCATACCCTATAGATAAACATAAGTTCTCTAGCGAAGGTTCATCGCTAACCACATTAGCTCCTTGATTCTCATCCCGCCGCTTCTTTTTGTAGGCTTCACATTGAAACCTCTGGTGTCCAATCTGGTGACAAAACCAAGACTCATCTTTTGTAACCTCTCTCTTTCTCCTTGACTGTGACATGCTACGCCCGCTGAATTTTCTTTTGCTTTTACTTCACAGACACACATTTATGGCAATGGCCCAATGTCTAAAACCACTAGGAGTTGCCCAATTCCTAACACCAACAGGGTGCAACCCCCACATTCAATTTTTTTCCCGGCTGCTACATCAACGGAAAATCATTCGATACACTCATATCATGAATGATGTAATAAATATAACTAGTCATGAAAATGTATTTTCACATAGTGTATTTTCTCTGGTGAGATCGATATGAATTCTATTAACTTTTTTTTTCTGCTCGTTATTGATACAATATTCCAAACTAAATCTACTTGATCACTTCCTGTTACAAAATTTTATCAGCTCGTCCTACTTTTCCTCGACATTCTTCACAATTTGCACATGCGAAATCTGTGGTGTCCTTTCCATCCCAAGGAGAGAGATCCGGCAGCAACCAATAATCGCTTCTATATGCACGGACGCCCGATCCCACCTGCCCACCGGTTTTCCATTTTAATTTCTCATCAAGCTACTAACGGAATGAATTCATTTACGAAATTTTAAACTTAATTACATACGTGTCAGCGCTTGAACTCTACTTTTATGACGGATTCTTATTTCATCGCCTGGTGTACTTAACGATGGTCCTCGGTTTTATACCGCAGGTGCTTGTGCATGAAGAAAAATTAGGGTTAGCTTGTGGGTGAGCACGTTGATATTTATCACACCGTCAGTGGAGAAGGAAAGAATAGGAGGAACGTTGGGGGTCCTAGTTGTCCCTGGCATTTGGAGCTACGTGCATACGTTCACTTTCATCGCTTTTCGGCTCCATCCCAACCCCGAGAACAGACGAAGGACGGGGGATTCGTGGACGATGCTCTCTGTTCTGGCTTCTTCTTAGGGTTTTTTGGTTCGTGTTGTACGATAGTTAATGTCGCGTCTGTTTTTTTTTAACAGCAAGTGCGTGGTTGTGTTTTGTGGAGGTGGCTCGTTCGGGCTCCACCTGACTCAATCGATCTGAGACTCTGATTTGAGCCATCTGAAACTCTTACTCCTTCAGTTAAATATGTAAAGGCATGTACCGCATAGCTAGCCAAACTTACTGTTGCATGTTCATCCTAGTTACGTGCGTTTATGTTGCGAAAGGACGACATTGCATTTGGGTTCTTATTGTCGTTGCTCGCTCGTCCCCTCCTCGTCCTTGCATTTGAAGGAAGAAGAACGGGAAAATTACCGGTTCGGTCATAAACTTATCGTGCAGATGCTAATTCAATCCTCCACCGAAAACCGCCGATGGGGCAGCCCGCATTGGACGCCGTTTCGAGCGAACCTGTCCATGTCGGCGTGCCACGTAGGACAGCCGGCGATGACTAGACTCTACGTCAGTAATTCCCGGCGGCAATTAGCCCAGATGGACTACGTAGGAATTATGGGAAAAGGTCGAGGATTGCATTGGCAGAACCGAAAATTTTATGACCAAATTAACATTGGTGTAGTAGGTTCAAGACCGAATTGGTAATTATCCCGAAGAAGAATCTTACATGCTTAGTTCTAGACACAAATAAGTCCGAGGGTCGGATATAGATGTCGAGTTTTTACAGGTTCTTTTATCTTGACCCCCAGCAATTGCCATCTCATCTTTTTCATATGGACTCGAAAGGAACGACCTAACTTACAGCCGGTTTGCATCTTTTATCAACCGCGAGTCACGACTCAAATGGTTAATCCAGCAAACGAGACAAAAAGAGAGAGTTAAATGTGGGTAGGCTACTGCTTAATAAGATGTGATTAGCAACTTCTCTAATTAGAAGCATCCCTCGTGATCAAAGTCCAACTGGTGCATGCAGCAATAACACACAGAATATTGAAGATTTCGAAGATAAAACAATCTGGCATAACTGCAGTAGCATTGCAGGAATTAACTTCGAAGGCAATCTATATGTGCTGTCAATACAACCACCGAGTGGATTCACCTCTTGGGGACATGACAGTGCCACGAAGAGGCGGTCGTCGTCGTCGTCGCCTCATCCTCGCCGTCCCTACACGCAGCGTCGGCGACGAAGGCCCACAGACAGGCGTCCCAGTGGCGCTCTCCGTCCTCCATGAGTTCCGGCAACTCTATCTCGGCCCAGAAGTCGTCGCCGTCGATGCCGCCGCGCTTCTTGTTCGCCGCCACAGCACGTGCTGCCTCGGCCGCCGCCACCTGGATGTCCCGCGCGCTGTGGGTGGCGGGGATGGGCAAGTCGCGGACCTCGTCGGGGAAGTTGAGCTGGGCCTTCCGTCCCTTCAGGCAGTGTGCGGCGACGTCGTGGGCCTTAGCTGCCATCTCGGGCGCTGGGAACGAGCCGAGCCAAATGCGAGACTTCTTCCGTGGCTCTCGGATCTCGGAAACCCACTTGCCCCACCGCCGCTTCCGGACACCACGGTAGACAGGGTGGCGGGTGCTGCCTCCGGGAGGGCGGATGGTTTCGCCGGAGACGTGTTCGGCGAGTGGCGGTTGCTCCATTGATGTGGGAACTGATGGTCCCATTCGGGAGTCTGTGTCGTCGCATTTATAGTACAATACACTCGGATCCTACAAGCTTTGGCCGAGTCCATACGCAATTACGTAGATACCCTCGGATGGGCTCCAAATTTCCTGTACTGCGGACGGTATAACAGGCAAAGGTAAGGTCAAATCTGAACGTTGGACATACACCAAGCTTCTCCTCCCAGGACATACATCAGCCTATTAATATTAAGTATGTGACGTTCCGCTTACTCTCGCAACTTATAATCGTGTAATGTACATGTGCTGTTCTATTAGGATCGAGATTTTCTAGACTTACAAGAAACTTCCCAATTTTGTCAACACTCAACAATGCCGACCGTGGAGGTTATTCACCATGGGACTCTACATTAATTGCAAGCGTCGTCGACGAGTGAAGTCATCTCTTTAAGTCTATGGGCAATTGTGAGTGCCACACCTTCTAGAAAAGGGTAAATGTATATCACTTTTGAGCGTATCATTTATCGAGACAACTTGCATACAAGGAATTGATTCAGTAATTAAATCAAATGGGCCCTTTTAACTTAGTGACAGAGTAACGCCATGGTAAGGCGTAAGTCATCGGTTCAAATCCAACTACAGTTGAAGCACCTAAAGGAGAATTCGGTGTCTTCCTGGTCGGTGACGGAAGCAATCGTCCCTATCGTCGTAAAATAAGAGCACCTGGAGCAACCAAAACTGAGCGTCATAGGGTGATGCAGTTTGGTTTATCGCAATTCACATTAGCTTTCCACATAATTTCATCGTCGAGTTTATGTGAGAACGAGGTGTCAACTCTGTGATCATGTGTTTCTTCGGCTCTTATCAAATGCGGGACATTTCAACACACATGACGTATCATTGCCAGCTCTAACCCCGAGGATCAACTGTCAAGAGCCTTGATCATAGATTTGAGGCTGGTGGGTCGCGCGCCAATCACTGCCTTCCTTCTGCCATGCAAATATATTTCTGGGTTGGCGACACTCGAGAGCCACTTGAATCAAAGGACGAGGGTCGCAATCACGTGCGGTGGTCACCATGCAAAAAGAGAGACAGATCACACAGAGCCTTGAGCCTTGTGGGGGAGGGCGTCGCTACGGTACTGCGTTCTTAGGCATTGGCGGTTGGGTCGCTTTCTCGCAACGGGAACGGGGGATGGCGATCGGGCTGTGTAACTGGTTCTTGGGTCGATCGAAACACGGGGTGATGGTCACGCGGTGCGTGTAGGAAGCAAAGGGTTGGGTCGACACGGGACGTCCGCGACAGAATCTTTCGGCCTGAGATATTTGTTTTCGCGTGGGTTGTGGACAAGATTGTACAACAATCCAACTTAGAGATATAATAAATAGACCTATCAAACGGGTGAGTTGGGTCGGACTGAATATGGTCCGATCTAAATTGATCAATTTAACTCGTTTTCACATATCTTTATGCAATACAAATCTAGTGACCCATACCCGACTTGACTCGACCCATATTGCTAAAATATTTATATATTCTAGGAAAATCCATACTCAAACTAAGGTAAAAGCACGGAATGAGCGAGCGCAAGATCAAGGAAGAGCGAGAGAGAGAGAGAGTAAAGAGACAGTAATAGAGGTAAGATGGATCTAAGTAAGTTATAAACCCATTTAATACCACGTTAAACCCATTTATGACAAATAAAGTTGGGTCTAAACCCATTTATAACATATTTACTTAATAAAATTAAGACATATAATAACCCAGCCAATCAAATACGGGTTGAGAAATGGATTTGTAATTCATTTTGACAGTTCTAATAAGTACCCAATATGGCCATCTCCACGCTACGATCTTATATCGGGGAAAAGTGCCAAAAAAGTCATAAACATTTTGCATTAGTGCCAATTTAGTCCTAAACCTTATTTTTTGTGCCAATTCAGTCCTAAACCTTTTGCATTGGTACCAATTTAATCCTAAACCTTTTTTTGGTGCCAATTAAGTCCTAAACCTTTTAAATTGGTGTCAATTCAGTCATAAACTTTTTGTTTTTGTGCCAATTTAGTCCTTCCGGCCAATTTTGACCGGAATTTGCCGACGTGGACGCCTGCCGGCCTGTGGCCGGTCACCGGTGCCGACGTGGACAACTTTAATAATATTTTAATATTTTTTTGATTTTTTATTATTTTTTTCCTTTTTTTTCCCACTTTTTTTTTATCTCTCCCTCCTTCCTCTGGCCGGCGAGGTCGACGCTCGACCTTGCCAGATCCGGCGAGGGCTCGAGCCTCGCCAAACCAAGGCGAGGGCTCAAGCCTCGCCCGACCAAGGCGAGGCTCGCCCTTGCCAGTGGCCGGCGAGGTCGAGCTCGCCGGCCTCTGGCTGGTGGCCGGACCGGCGACCGGCCAGAGGAAGGAGGGAGAGACAAAAAAAAGTGGGAAAAAAAAGAAAAAAAATCGAAAAATCAAAAAAATATTAAAATATTATTAAAGTTGTCCACGTCGGTGCCGGTGACCGGCCGCCGGCCAGCATGCGTCCACGTCGGCAAATTCCGGTCAAAATTGACCGGAAGGACTAAATTGGCACAAGAACAAAAGGTTTAGGACTGAATTGACACCAATTTAAAAGGTTTAGGACTTAATTGGCACCAAAAAAAGGTTTAGAACTAAATTGGTACCAATGCAAAAGGTTTAGGACTGAATTGACACCAAAAAAAGATTTAGGACTAAATTAGCACTAATGCAAAAGGTTTATGACTTTTTTGACACTTTTCCCATCTTATATCTGCTTTTTCATCTTGGGTCCGTCATTGGCCTGGACCAGATCCATGGGCTTGAATTGTGTACTTTATGCGCTGCACAGTACACGCAACCACTTACCATCCCTCTTGTCCATGTCCTGGAATTGGGAAGACATAATTTTGTCTGCCGAGCTGCTACAATGTGTGAATTACTGCTACACATGCATGTCATGAACTTTTACAGCGGTGGCAGCGTGGTTGATATCGATCGCGAAACCGTCGTATTTACGATGCCCGGACTCGATTGGCCTTTTGCCAAATGAACGGAGGAGGGAATCTGGAGACATTGATCCGTCCTTTGGAAAGGTGTTCGGTGTTTGAAACTCAAAAGGTTGCATCCGATTCTATCTTCTGTTCCCAAATGCATCCAAGTTCTTGGTTCCATCACAGTATATCTATACGTAGTCTGCATATCTCACGGGGGGAAAAATACCCTTTAAATTGATTTTGAAGATGTCATGTTTTATATGATGTACGAAAGTCTGCTTGTGAGGTTTGATGTCCAAATAACCTCGCCATTGGGCCAGCGTTCGATGGACTCATCTTTAAAGATAGCCCAACATATCGTGCGGAGGATGAACAAAACCAGGCTTTTGAATCTGGGCAATCTCTCGTTTTCACGCCTCAAACACATCGTAATTCAAGTAAAACTCGATTGCTAATGATAACCATCATACCTCGGAGCGGCTTGGTTTGATGACAGCGATCAAGTTAGGGACAAATACCAAAGTCCAAATCCCAGTAAATGCAATATTTGAGCCGATGTGTACTCTTTCTTTTTCTTAGTCACGTCACGACTCGTGCGATTGAAAGCGAGCATCGGCGTCGTGAGAATGAAAGGTAATCGATATCGGGAATGTCAAGCATCCCTCGACATGCCAGTGCCACGTGATTTTTTTTCTGTCCACCCTTATCGATGCTACTCTCGATCGACTGGTTCATCGAGGAAGACGCTTGGAACCATATGCGTCGAGCCCACCCCTAGAGTTCAAACCGAAGACGCCAAACACATACACCTACTTGCACGTGCGGGATGGATCCGTGTGCGTGCCTCCAAGCGAGAGCTGTCCTTGTGTCGAGGACGTAACATTGTGAAGGGGGAAAGAACACAAGTACGAAGAGTCTTCCCAATGCGGTACCTTGTAATTGTGAAGTTGGGTTATTTAAGGGAATACCTGTCAGCTTATTTGTCGCCTAACACAGTCTCCTAATGAGGCTGCCCACAAACGTCAATTTGATTTTGTCCAAAAGTTCCACATCGGTCGTCACAAGAATGTACGAATGATGATGATCCAACTAGATTTAGTCTTACAAGTTTTGCTGACATTGGAAACTAAACTTTACACCAATCAAAACCAATAGAGAAAAGTAAGCGAACATGCTTTACACGCTCGGGGTAATTCATTGTATGTAAAATTTGCCAAAAACAGTGTTGGCATGATAAATCTTAATAGTTGTGGTTTTAACCGACCAATTAACTCCTGGCATGTGTTCAGTTTATGTGAACGGGTTAAGTGACATGACTCGATGACAATACCCATCAAAGCATGATTTTAGGGTCTTAGTTGCGCGATCGATAAGACAAGACATCAGTTTAGAATCAGCTCATTGGAAGAGAAAACGGTGCGCAATCACTATTTGATAGATAGACATGCAATGATCTCTAAAGACAGTATGCATGCCGATGTCAAGCTATCTCATCCACTTGTCGTCCGAACAACGTCAACTATCGAGAGTCACCCGACAATCCACTGACAGAATTACCTCATAAGTAGCAATCTAGGCACAAAAATACAAAGCCTGGAAAAAAACTTCTTCTTCCACGAGCTTTTCCTCTCTTTCCCAAATGTTAACTTAAGTATCGAGGGCCAATCTGAATACGCGATCGAAAACGCACTAACCTAGATTCTACCTACGTCGCCGGTGGATTTTCCGGTTCGAAGCTCCGGACACGTTCAAAAGTTTCGTGTTCTTTCATATGGCAGCATGGTAAGTTCGACAACACTCCCCAAAAAGGACCTCAGAGCAAACCAAGACGAAGCGACTTGCTGCTTCTCTCTCCTGCTCGACACAAACGAAAGATGAAATACACGTGCGAGTGTGAAAGGAAAATGACGAAAAGATCCTCCTCGTGAGAGGAGGAAGGAGCCAAGCGTGGTTTGACTTTTCTACGGAACTGAAACGTTGCCGGACGCGGACGATAGATTTTACGCATTATTCAAAGATCTGATGCGGAGAAGAACATTGCGTTGACCAGCT